CTTCCATAATTTACATTTATAGGCATAAGAAAATCCACCAGCTTTTATTGTGACGCATCATCAGCAGTATCAGCACCAGTTTGACCTCATTAACGTATGGGCTGGAATCATCAACATTTCATTAGACCATTTGTATTGCCTTGAAGCTTAACTGGGGAACTTTATTTGGAATTTCTCCAAGACAACTTGCCAAAACTTTTAGACGACCTACCTTTGGCAATATACGACATGGTAATTCATGCATGATGAGGCACCACCCCATTTTAGTCTGGTTCAAGTTCTCTAAAAATATTTTTATTTGTGCCATTATCGATAAGGATGTAAAAAAAAATCGGCATTATTGTGTTACAGCTAGTCCGCCCCTGGTAAACCAAATAAGCCAAATTGTTTCCATGGATAAATTTTTAAGGAGTCTTATCTGTTGTCCTTCATTTAAAAAATAATTTAATTATTAAGTATTTTAAAAGTTATTATAAAAAATCGAGCCCTCTAGGGAAAAATTTTATAGGAACTTGTCTTGTTATTTTAACATCTCCTGTATAAATCCGAGAGATTGCCCACATATTCTGGGACATCCTGTATGGTGTGTATGGTGTTGCAAAATGTTGTTCAGAGAATTCTAGAGTAGATTCTACATCCAAAAATAGAAAAAATTCCTACAAACGTAGGTCCGCAAATGCTTCGTTTTCGAAGCAGAGGGTGTCAAGAAAAATTATAAAATATGTTTTTATTGGTAATTTCAATTGCGTTCTACAATTTTTTACAAATATTTGTTTCTCCACAAGGTGCGTTTTGTTGGATCGATCCCGGATTTATCGGACTCTTTAGAATGACATTTATTAATAAAATGATTCGAATCGAATCTGACATTTTGAATAACTCGAAAGCCGCTAGCTAAATATCAAATGTGCAAGGGAGCCTTTTTGCTCTAAAATAAATGAAGTTCCGAGAAATAAAGTAAAAACCAGTAGAAAAACCAGTGGCATAGATTTTCTGGTCAAAAATCAATATCTACGCCACTGATGGGTCTCAAAAATAATCGATATACCAAATTATAACCTACGTATCATAAATTTATTGACCGAAATTTAAACGATATCCAATGACAAATTTAGAAATTATCAATAAAAAACATAAATATTTTTTTGACACTATTTCGAAAACGAAGCATTTGCGGACCTACGTTTATAGGAATTTTTCGTATTTTTGGATGTTGAATTTGCTCCAAAATTCTCTGAACAACATTTTACAACACCCTGTATTTAATGTGAAACTCTTTATTGTGCATTTATGTTTTTATTTTACTTTTTTTCGTTTTCTCAGGACGCGATTGCCGAATTGAAAAATGTAAAGAAAGTTCCTTCTGAATCTTTCAGTAAAGTCATCATTTTCCAATATTATTTTGAGGAATTCAGTTGAAGAAAAGTAATAGTTAAATAAATATTTCGTTTACGTGTTATAAACAATTTCAGGCAGAATTTACAATTTTTCAAGACTAATATTTCTCATATTCCTATTTTTTACCCAGATTTTTAATCACGACAATTTGAAATATTTGACACAACTGATGGTAATTATATTTATGTTTTTTTTTTGTATAAACGTACTAACTATATACAGGTTGTCCCACTTAAAAAAGATTCTTTCATAGCTCTGATAAAATCAATAATACAAAGAATTGTTTCGAATAAAAGTTGCAGCAAATTAATTTCTTCACACTTCAATATTATTTACTCTTATACAGGGCGTTCTATTTCTTCTGGGCGTTACATAGCTTCATTTTGTCAAATGATATACCCTTTTTTTATTTAAGACCCAGCCATGATAAATGGATATTGGGTCTAATGTTACCGATTTGGCGTTAATTAATTCTGAAAAAAAAAAAACAGGCATTTGCCGCATCCCCCATTAAAGTATGTGATTATTCATTTCATATTCGAAGTTTTTCAAGTTTTTTTTTACCATTCTAGTGCTAAAAGAAAGGTGTCACGCGATAGTACCGTTTCCGTTCCAAAACAGTACAATCAACATTTTCCGCATGAATAGGATTTCCTTCAAATTTTGTTTTGTAAAAAATTAAATCAAAACACCTGATTTTATCTATCAATTGATTACGAAAAACATATCTTGCAAATATACGTGAATCCCCTTTTCGAGATCAACCCCTATATTAGTTTTTTAATTCGCAAAACTCTGTTTTTAGATTCATCAAGAAATCAATCATTACATTGAAAATATAAAACTAACTAACGCCCGGAAGAAATAGGCCACTCTGTATAATTCAAAATTTCAACATGTGATGAAACTGATGTGACGTAACTGTTATTTGAAATATTTCTACTGTATTATTGATATTGTCAAAGTTGTGGACGAAGCCGTCTTATTTGGGACACGCTGTATGTGTAGAGACAGACAAAAATTGCTAGCAAATAATGTTGCAGTCCTCTAACTAGGGATGCTGATTGTTTAAGGCTACTGTTTTATTTAAGAAAAAATTGAAACATGCACGCCTGTTATAAAGATTGTACTTTAAAAAATACCTAGAACTTGCTAAGAAAATATCGAATGAAAAAATTGTAAGAAGCTTGTTACATCAACTTTAGTTGGAAACAGGAAGCAATCGAAAAAAAATCAGTTTGCGCCAGTGGCGTGCACTCGGTGATATTATTTAAAAATATACTTACTGCTTTTTATTTAGTCACTAGTAAAAGGTTTCTGGTATTAACCGAGAAAAAAATATTATAAATTTAAGTTATATAAAGTTTAATTAACGTTAAGTTTAAATTGTTACAGCACAGTAGCGAATTACATTTTTTTAAAATAATATTAGCTCGATATGATTATGTGATTCACTGTCTGTATTATTCTATAGGTACACTTAAGTATAACGATATATACAGGGTGATTCCAAACTTATCCAAAATAAAATACGGGATAGATTCATCCATAGTAGGGTGTCTCTTGTGAAAATATGTTAATCATGTTTCAAGAGCCACCTCAAAAAATCAGCTCAAAAAAAATTTTTTTAGAGGTCGCTCAAGATTTTTAAAAATTTCCAAAATCGTCAAAAATTTAATTTTTTTTTTACATTTTTTCTCGTTATTTTATCATTTTCTAGGTTGAAAGAAATCTCGATTCTGAAAATTTCAAATCGATATTTTAATTTCTAAAGGTCACTCATAATTATTTTAAATTTAAAAGTTGTGTAGGTACCTAAAATGTTTTCGGGCGACTTCTAAAAATAAATATCAACGAACTAATAATTTTTTTATTGAATTTGATGAACAAAAGAATATAAATAAATCACGAGACACTTAAAAAATTTCTCGAGGCAAAATTTACTACCGCAAGTATTTATATATTTATAATTTTTTAAAATTTAAGTGTCTCATGATTTATTTATATTCTTTTGTTCATCAAATTCAATAAAAAAAATTATTAGGTCGTTGATATTCATTTTTTAGAGGTCGCTCGAAAACATAGGTACCTACACTACTTTGAAAGTTAAAATATTGTCAAAAAAAAGTCGTACTTAATTTATCACTAATTTATCATTTATTTCAGCCATTATAGCTTCTTATATATTTGTAGGCCAACCGATAACTAAAAGGTGTACTGAGGTAATTGGAATGCCTCTATGATTTACTTCTGAACTTCAATGCCATCATCAGGATCAACGCATAGGATTCTCATTTTATTTTTTTTATCTGTAGCAAATATCCGCTAATTATTGGCAGCATTATTGTAATACGTTCATGCAATTAGAGACACTCCAGCAGGGCATGGGTCTGGAAAAACTCTTACTAGCGGCATGCACAATGGGTCGCAGGACCCGAGTGCTGGGTACGTAAATCTCAACAGTTTCCATGCCAGTACTATTAACTTCATTTTTTAAATGTCGATGGCTTTAAATCAGGAAACCGCGGTGGACCGTCCTCCTTGTAAAAGCCACCGTACTTCTTTGACTTCATGAAGGTATATTGAATAATTTGTCGAAAATGATATCGTAACACCACATTCCTTGTCGAACAGCTAAAGGCACATCTTCAAGAAGTCCAGGCAGATCAATTCCAAGAAATTCGAGATACTGAAAACCATCCATTTAGTTCGGCAATATAAAGGGTCCAACTAAGCAATTGTCGACAATCTCTGCCCAAAAAAAGGAAATTTTTTGAATATTTTAGAATAGTTGTAAAATATCGTATAATTCTGCATCGCTGCACATATGCCATTTTGTACACTTAAGACAGATGTAAACAATAAACCACGGTAATAAGAGTCCTATAAAGACCACAGTAATACCGAATAGGTATTTATGAAATTAAATCGGTGGTAACTTCTGAAAGGGCGCGAACAAAAATTTAAATTTAATAAACACACCACAATCGTCCAGTTACATAGTGCTTTTAAATGTAACAATTTTTATTCGAAATTTGTAAATATTTTATTATAACTTTTTTGGGTAGTACCAACTCTATTTTATTGGTGCATATATCCCCGAAGTGTTTTGGATAAATTGTGAATCACCTTGTACTGCTACTTTTTTCGAAAAACAAAAACAAACAAAAAAATTATTATTAATCTGAAAGGGAAAAAGTTAAAATTGTCCCACAACTGAGGAACTTATCACTGGTGGCAAGGGATTAAAGTGAATTCTGTATAAATATCTCCGAAAAAGGAATACTTATTGAAAAAAAATCTAACAGCGGCTATAAACCGAATGACGGCGATGTTTGAGCGTCGTAAAAACCTCAGATAAGCTTCTCCTTTTACCCATAAATATCTTAAATCTGCGTTGAAAGGCGTCGAAAGGGAAATTAAGAGAGTTAACACGGTTCTGATTTCCAAGACTGAATATCGACTACCAGAGATACCGCCGAGGTGCGGTGTTATATCATAACTACTTTCTACGGGGTGTTGAAAATAGCGTGACTAATAATCTAAAATTTCAATCTTACTTCCTGTTTCCACTAGATACACATTCCGCTATTCTAACTTACCCAAAGTAGTAGAACGACTATGGTCTAATTCAGCTAATATTCTGTTATCTTGCTCTATTTTAGCCATAATTCGTTCAATTTCTGTACCTTTATTGCCCCACGATTGGCCGCCCATGGCGCTGGACATTGGGACGCCCTGTACGCTAGCACCCATGCGCCCCCTCTGGGAAGACGCTAGCTCTAGCTGCAGCTCCTCACATCTAGGACAAACGACTCTCGTCTAATGTTCGTCTCAATAAAAAGACTTATACAGTGTGTCCTTTACAAAGAAATGATTAGAAACGTAGTTAATTTTATTTTTAAAGTTCAATAATGTGTTTAAACAATTCGCCACGGTAGCGCAGTCGGTCGAAAGTGCGGTGGCAAGCATTTTTCGGCCAGGCTTCCTATTCTGGTCCGGGTTCGATCCCCGGTGTCGGCACTGGCAATGTCGATGGATAATGGGTGTTTGTCCGCGTATTTTCAAGTGTAGCCCCCTTCCACACAGCCTTTGGCTTTGGATTTGGGGGTTGTCTCATTTCTGTAGTGTGTTTTTAGTTACGAAATACAGGAAAACCAATAATTTTTCAATATTTTTTTTTAATAGTATATATATTGTTGAGTTCTATCAATAAAAACAACTACTATATTCTTAATAATTTCTTAATAAGGTACATCCTGTATAAATTGACCTACTTAAAACTACTGTTGTCTATATTTCAACAGAAGCAGATTTTTTTTAAGAAAAATTACTTTTTTCATAAAATCAACTCCATCTATGCACACACTGTATAATTTCACAAATTTTAAAATTAAACTTTACAGCCAAATGGAAAAAATCAGTATAGGTATGACATAGCATTGACAGATTCGAAATTGATGATTCGATCCAAAAATTTACAGTCGAATTAACTGAATTTAGTGACGGTAGGATTTAAACACTAATTTTAAGATGTTTTATCCCATCTGACTGATTAGATCGTAAATTTTAAAATCACATCAACTGAAATCAGATAACATTAATTGATTTGATTTCAAATTTTACTGTCGAATTGTCTGAAATCGGTTTAAGAGTGACTCATGACTAATAAAGTTCCAAATTCTACATTCAAATGGACTAAAATTAGGTTAAGAGTGACATAAACAGCAACCGATTTGTTACGATTGACTTGATCCCCAATTTTACGGCCAAACCGACTGAAATTGGTGTAGAAGTGACTGAAAGACTTGTAGTATATTTCGATTCGAATGATTTATTCCCAGATTTTACAACGAAATTGACTGAGATCTGTTAAAAACTGACATTAACACTAATAAATTTCATCCAACTGACTCGATCCCAAATTTTACAGTAAAACCAACTGAATTCAGTGTAGGAATGCATGCAGCATTAATGGATTTGAAGTGATAGATTGGATTCGGTTGATTAGATGTTAAATTTTAAAATCACAACAACTGAGATCAGATAACACAATTAAGTCGCAAATTCTACAATCAAATCGACTAAAATCAGGTTAACAGTGACATAAACACCAGCGAATTTGAAGCGATTTGAAGAGATAAATTTTATTCGTTTGATTCATTGATTGAATACCAAATTTTGCAGTAAAATCCACTGAAATTGGTTGAGGAGTGACTTAAATTAAGATAGATCTCAAATTCTACCGCCAAATAATTCAATTCAGAGTGACTTAAATACTGATGGATTTGACATATATGACTCAATCCGACTGATTAGACCCCAAAATGTTAAATCAAATCGACTGAATTCGGTTTTGGAGTGACATAAATACTGATGGATCTGATCCTATTAGCTCAGTATCAAATTTTACAGTAAAGTCTATTTGAAATTCACTTTAGAAGTAACATAAGCAAGCATAATGAATTTGAAAAGATAAATTTGATCCGATTGATCCCAAATTTTACAGTAAAAGTTAACTGAAATTGGTTTAAGAGTGACTTATAAATTTCAAACGTCTTATTCGATCCGACTGAATAAATTTACAACTAAATTGACTTAAATCAATTTAAAAGCGATATTAAACACTAAAGGACTTGATCCAATTTACTAGATCCCAAATTTTACAGCCAAATCATTTCAGTTCAGAATAAGAATGACTTAAATACCAATGGATTTGAAATATATGACTCAATCCAACTGATTAGATCCCAAATGTTACAATAAAATGCTGAATTAAATTTAGGAACGACACAAACACCAATGGGTCTAATCCCTGGTAAATCTGACCCAAATCCACCTAATTGAGTTGAAGGGTCATATAAACCATGACAGATTCGAATAGACGATTCGGTGCGCAAATTAGATCCCAAATTTTACAAATTAAATCGCCTAAAATCAATATATTTGATCCGATTGACTCGTTCACAAATTTTACAATCACATTATTTGAATTCAGCGTAAAAATGATACACACACTATGAACTTAAAGTGATTTAATTGAATTGACTCGGTCCCAAATACAGTCAAATCTACGGAATTTATTTTAGGAGCGATATCACACACTGATTGATTGAAGTGGACGACTTGATCCCGTGCAAACGCCGTAGCAAACAAGTTAAACGTGACAGTCTCCCACATTTTCGTTACATTCGGACGATATATGTTCGGGAGTGCAAAGAATAAGGATCCGAAAGATATGAGACCAGACCCCTTTTGCAGAAATGCATTAAAATCGATTTACGGCTTCATTAGATGCCGGCTGAAAAAGGCCGGGCGATAATAATTCATTACAGAGTACCCCCGGATCCAGTTCCGTGACCCAAATATTGATTCGTCGTTACACAAACATAGTTAACTCATTGAATGGGGGCTCACATTGAAATCTTTCCTAGCCGCAGCAGTACAAAGGGGGACGGCGGCGTTTCGTTTCATGTCGGCTAAATAAAGAGCGACAAAAGGAATCGCTGATCGATGGGGGGCGCTGGTGACTGACACTGCAACGTCGGCGATAACTATTGATAGGACTTCTTCTACAAGTATTTATTCGAATCAACCCATAACGGGCAACTTGCTTCTATTTTTTTTAGATGTCTAGACTCTAGAAACTTATAAAAATATGTGGAAGAAATATTAGAATTATCTCTCGTAAAGATTGTTAAAGTTTAGCGCGGGTAGTAAATGTTTAAAACGGGTGTTTGCTGCAGCGCTAATTCGTGACGTCAATTAGTGCGATCGAAAATCGAGAAGATGAATCACAGTTGCGGGACGGCCCAATAAGAATCTAGAGACAATCAATTTCATGGGAATTGTAAACTAGACGGCAGGAGGCCGAGAAGTATATTGTCGCACCAAGTGTCGTCACAATGCGTTACTGATCATGTGATTTTGTCGGACCTGATGACCACACAAATACGGTATATAAAATATGTAAAGGTAAAATATATGAAGGTAAAAAGACTTTATGGGAAATATTAAGAAATCGGATGGAGAGAGTAGTACTAATACGTGTAGGGCAATATCTGGGAACAGATATAGTGGGAAATGGTTCGACAGAGAACGGGAACAGGAATTGTGAAAAATAAGGGAATTAGGACTAGAAACGCTATAGGAAGAAACTAATGAAATGAAGGAGGCAAATGCGGAAAATTAAAATTACGATGAGAGCAAAAAGGAGCAAAATATATGGGCATAGAGGAGTAAAACAGAAAAGGACAGGCTATCAACCAAGAACAACATTTGACAAAAATTAGAGAGACGGACAGACAATTACGAAATCCTAAAACTGTAGGAAGAATATTTTGAGAAATTGTTGAATGAACTCAAAGATCAAAGAGAAGAAATTAATGATGTAAGATATTAGACAAAACACAGAAGATGAGGAACCACCTATATTAGAAGAAACGAGTGTAATGTAAACGANTCGCACCAAGTGACGTCACAATGCGTTACTGATCATGTGATTTTGTCGGACCTGATGACCACACAAATACGGTATATAAAATATATAAAGGTAAAATATATGAAGGTAAAAAGACCTTATGGGAAATATTAAGAGATCGGATGGAGAGAGTAGTAGGAATACGTGTAGGGCAATATCTGAGAACACATATAGTGGGAAATGGTTCGACAGAGAACGGGAACAGGAATTGTGAAAAATAAGGGAATTAGGACTAGAAACGCTATAGGAAGAAACTAATGAAATGAAGGAGGCAAATGCGGAAAATTAAAATTACGATGAGAGCAAAAAGGAGCAAAATATATGGGCATAGAGGAGTAAAACAGAAAAGGACAGGCTATCAACCAAGAACAACATTTGACAAAAATTAGAGAGACGGACAGACAATTACGAAATCCTAAAACTGTAGGAAGAATATTTTGAGAAATTGTTGAATGAACTCAAAGATCAAAGAGAAGAAATTAATGATGTAAGATATTAGACAAAACACAGAAGATGAGGAACCACCTATATTAGAAGAAACGAGTGTAATGTAAACGATAAAAACATCTAAAAACAGAGAGGTAAGTCTGGGTGAGAATGGAATTACCGTAGAAGTATGATGGTGAACAAAACTAATCTAATATACAAGATGTATCATAATTAATAGTGCAAATAGAAACAGCTGTAACAAAAAAAATTTTTTGACGTTTTCGCTTCTAGTATCGTGTTTCAATTTCAATCTTGGACACACTGTGTATAGGTAGTTAAAAAATTGTGTTCGTTTTCGACTTACCTCACGGTTTCTAAGGCTACTTTCTTCTCCAATTCCCTAACCCGAGACTGTCTGGCCTCCAGAGTCTCCGGACCGCATCCCCTGAGCGCTTGGAGCGCCTCCGCGTGTTGCCGCTCCAACTCGGCCCTTCTGGCCTCCGCCGCCCTAAGCTGCATTTCCAGGTCCATGCCCTGAAAAATATATCTCAATGTAAAATTTGTAAGTGCTAGAAATTAAAAGAAAAACAAATTAAATAAAAATTGAACAATAAATGAATCTTTTCTACATATCCCGAAATTGTCTACAATATTTTACAGGGTGTCCTAGAAATAAGTGCCAAAGTTTTACCACGCATTTAACTCGCCAAAGGCAACAACTTTTGTCTAATGAAAGTGTGGGTACACATGTCCGCAAGTGACCCATTTTAAGTATTACGTCAAGATCGCCAGCCTGACGCCAGACGGCCTAACCGTTGCAAGCGACAAGAAACAATGTGCAATGCGGGATATGGTTCCCGGAAGAGGACCACGGCAGATTGGCGCCAAGGACCAGATACTTATACCTGCGAACGACTCCACAAAGAGGACACTCCAGCGGACGTTTGCCCCGACAACATATCTTTTCTCTACACTTACAATTAGTTTTCAATAAAAATACTTTTATTTTTACCGTTGAGAGAAAGTTTTATTTTGCTGCACACCGAAAGCAACCCTCAAAAGTTTTCCAAAACATATTTTTGATCGACATTTTGTTTTTTGTTAAGCTTTTTCGACTAGCAGTAGCGGGTAACAAAAATTAATTTTAATTTAAATATTCAGCAATTCCCTACTATTTTTTATTTAATTCAATGCCCCCCTCTACGCCAGATTAATTTATTTATTGAAAATAAAATACGGGACATATTTACTGTTCGTCTTCAATACGATTAGATTACGATATTTTCAATATTTTGCAAAAATTTTAAATCTTATTTATTACTAGTTATATGAAGTCATTTATTTTCCATACTTTACATGTCATTGTTAAGTACACACAGGGTGATTGACAAATGGTGACCAAAAATGACACCTCGTATTTTTTGGTAAATTTTAAGGAGTCATTCGTATAAAGTTTTTATCTAGGACGCTTTGTTAAAAAGATACAGGGTGTTAAACTTAAAAAAATGTTTTTAATTTCTTTAACTAATTTAAAAACTAGTAAGTGAAATAATTTGAAATTGGGCAAAATCTGAGGCCTTTTCCTAAAATTTGGGCATATTTTTCTAAATAAATTAGTACGTCACTGCTTTACGGTAACAGTCTTTATCTTTAAATTTTCTACAAATTACTACTCTCTTATGTTTATCGATAAAAGCCTGATTTTCGAGTAAAACTTAAAAAACTAACTGAAAACACTTTTAGTTAAATGACATGACAAACACTAATAATTCGGTTATTTTTTCGAATAAAGAAATTATGTAATATAGCGCCATCATTTTAATGATTTTATTTGAGTACATGAGTAAAAATTCCTCCATTTCCACGAACATAGGAACGACATCTTTTTAGTAACAAAAATGTAATTTGGTCGAAATTTATTAATGCTTGAATCTGATGAAAAGCATTATTTATTTATTCTTCTAACTGCTCAGAATGTTAAAGTTGCTAACGCAACCTACTAAGTAATTTTAATTCGCATTTGATTCAAATTTTGTGTTTTCAGTTTGTCTTTTAAGTTTTCCTCGAAAATCAGGCATTTCTCGAAAAACATACGAGAGTAGTAATTTGTAGAAAATTGAAAGAATTGAATCCGAAAATATTATTATTGTTACCGTAAAGCAGTGGCGTAATATTCTATTTAAAAAAAATATACCACCGATACCCTGTATCTCCGCCACTGGAGCATCTAAATTTTAGAAAAAGGCCTCAGATTTTGGTCAATGTTTACATAAATACACGTGCCTTGTTTCAAATTATTTCACTTAATAGTTTTTAAATTATTTAAAAAAATTAAAAATATTTTTTTTATTTAACATCTTGTATCTTTTTAAGAAAGCGTCCTAGAAAACAACTTTATACGAAAGGCCCCCCTTAAAATTTACCAAAGGATACGCGGTTTCATTTTTGGTCACCGTTTGCGAATCATCCTGTATAGTTAGAAAATATGAATTAATTTCAATGATGAGCGTATGTATTTGTTTAACGTAGTCTTTTATATACTGGGTGTATTTAAATGAAGGGGCACAAATTATACCAGAGATTGTTTAGGTGATTTAACCTAACATACTTATATCCCAAGCCGCATAATAAAAAAGATACAGTGTGTCAAAGTGAAAAATAAAAAATGATTTTTCCTTAATAACTTCTAAAGTTTTAGTCAGATATGTTTTTTTAGGGTGGGAAATATTATGTAATAATAATTTTTGGCTGTCGTGTGCGGGGCGTCCTCTGCAGGCAATGTTATTCATTAAATATGTATTAACTTTTTTGTCAGCCCTCGTATACAGCTTTTAGTAACAAAATATGAAAAATTAAAAAGTGTATAAATTTATTGTTACTATTTTTATAGGATATTGTGTTTTTCCCTAGATGATGGCGTAAAGCCGAAACTGTTAGGAAAGAAAATAAATTACAATAATGAATTTTAAAAGGGATATGCCTTTTCGTACTAAATATTGTATTGTTCGTTCGAAACACTCTACAAGCTTAAAAAAGAATATATTTTGCGGATTTGACGAGAATCATAGAAAGACAAACCGTAAGCGTATGAATCCTATAGTCTGTTTAGAAATGAAAGAGGGTAATAAAAGCTTATTATATATGCAAATCGTAAATAAATGTAGTACTGGTGCTTATATTCAATATTTTTATATTATGCATTTTCGGTATAGATGAGGTGTACTTTTAAAAAAACTTTGTGCGATCGGACTGTACTAAATTGTAGCAGGTAGCTAAAATTTAATCCCCGACAATCCGTCTTTGTCTATGCCGCTTCAATTTCTCGGTCCATTTCTCTTATAAGTAAACAATATAAAAACAGCATTTCAAAACATGAGGCTACTTTAAGCATCATAACCGGGTTAAGAGGGTTTTTAGTAATTCAAATAAAATTATTCAATATTATTATCAAAATATTTATTTAAATTTAATGAATAGACTTTTATTCCACACAAAAATATATGTATTTTGAAAATTCAAATTATGGTGAGTAAATGTAGTGTTGTATAAATGTACAATAAAGAAAATAAAAAAGTAGGTATATTAAAATTCATCCTCTGAATATTCTGATGAATTATCTTCGTCTCCTAGATTGATAACGATAGGTTCCACAGTAACGTCAATTAAATTATCGAGTTCCCACATTTTCTCCTCTTCTTTTTGTACATGATGTATACATCTTTGCCAGTTATCTGCAGTTACTCGTTCCAAGGAATTTTTTAACAAAATTTTCACGTCACTTAATTTAAACGTCGTATTATTTCGCGCTACATCTCCTTTTACCTGCGCCCAGACTAATTCGATTGGGTTAAGTTCACAGTGATAAGGTGGTAACCGTAGTACCGTTATTTGGCGATTTGTTGCCATTTCATCGATAACATATTTTTTCTGATCTTTATTAAGATTGACAAGTGTCAAAAGTTCCTTTTTCACCATATTTGTTTCAAAAGAAATGTTTTTTCCGGATAACCATTGAATTATATCGGCTTTCCTCCAAGCAGTCGTAGGCGTCCGCTCGGTCTGCCGTGAATGGTAACTGGCATTATCCATGACAATTACAGACCCCGGAGGAATAAGATCCAACATCTGTGTAAAATACTCTTCGAAAACATCTGCGTTCATGTCTTCGTGATAGTCACCTGTATTTTTAGATTCAAATAAAAGTAAACCGCCATCTACAAAACCACTGGCACTACCTATATGTGTCACTATTAATCTTCGCCCTTTACCTGAAGGTGCCTTGAACCCTGTTGAAAGTCCATCCAAAAATGCTTGTCGAAAACTTTTTACATTTTTATCTTGCCATACTTTTGTTACAGTATATCCCTCGTTGACCCAAGTTTCGTCTAGATAATAAATATTCCTCCCTTCGTCACGGAATTTTCTAATTGATCTTAAGTAGGATCTTCGCCAACAAATAATTTCATCTTTATCGATAAGAACTGACTTCCTGTTCTGCTTTTCCCAGCAAAAATTCAACTCTCGTAAGACGGCCCATAATTTGCTTCTACTGATTTTTGGCAAATCGTTGTCCTCTGAAAGTTCACTTAAAATTTTGTTTAGCGTTGGTATTTCTTTTTTAAAATAAAATGAGTGTACTTTTCTGCGAATGACATTTTTGAAGAAATCATCTATAACGACTTTTGACCTCCCTGTAGATGATTTTGGGGGATTTACAGTATCTTGTTCATTTTTTGTTTCCTTTAAAAGTCTGTAGATAGTCGATTTTCCAATCCCTGTCATTTTGGAACACTTTTCCACGATGTCGTCAACACTGTTGGTAGGATTTTGGTGTTTCAATGCATTAAATACATTTAATATAATAATCTTCTCATTCTGAGACAGCGCACATCTTTTCACGCGTTTAGCAGGTACGTAATCTGATAAGCTCGACATTTTACCCAAACAATATTATATCCACTGGCACAATAGTCACTAAACACAAGTCGAATTTTACTCTACTGCACTAGCACGTCTTCGTATATTCAGCTCTAAGACTGGATTGATCTGTCACAATACACTGGCTCCTGCCCTATGATGTATCCAGTAAAATATACTAATGTACACCCATTACCTGTTAGCATTAGTGTTACCCGATAATTACCTGAAACGAAATATTACCACGCCCATGGCCGGTTCTTATCTCGGAGTTTTATTACTCTCTTTCATTTCCAAACAGACTATAGACAAAAATCATAATAATCCCGGCAACAGTAAATCGATAGCGTCGCGCTAGGCTGTCAGCATTTATCTCGAGTCGGAAATCGCATGTAAAGTAGGATATATTAGCTATCCGACTGTATATATTTCAGCCGGAGTGTTTGAGGAGGCTTATCTGCAGCCGGCATATCAATGAACCTCCCATCTCCCATACGTATTTCCCCGCAAAAAAAATCGACCCCGTACGGCTTGCGCGCCTTCATCCCCCTGGTCTTGCCGAGATACCATATCTCGGATACACGTTGTGGCGTCTGGATTCGCAGCTACTCGCT